ACCCTAAATAATCCTGCGAAAAATCGGCCATTGTCAGCGTATTGTCATCCGCTCTATTTGTTTACAACTAACCCACTCGGTCTAAGCGTACTCTCATGTCCACAAAATATATAAATTTATACCACGACACCTCAATGAAGTTGCTTTCATTGGTACCAGATATCAAAACAAAATAAGTACTTCCTGTTTAATATGGTTGGGGGTCCAGGGAGCTTAGGCCCCCATCTAGGAAAGGTTAGGTATGTTACTTTGGTTGGTTAGGTCGGGTTCTATAAGGTTCTAGTAAATGTCCCCTCTTTTAAAATACTTAATATAATGAAAAGAAAAACTGTGGAAAGAATGAACGAACTCAAATAACTCCTTCTGGTGGCTTTGATGTTCTCACACATTACCGCAAAAGTTTCAGTGTCACGTGATATTCCTGTGCATGCTCAAAGCTTTTAATTTTACTTGGCTAGTCGCAAGATGGCTTCTCTATACAAGAGATGTTCTTTGTCAGCTTGGCAAACCATTCATTATGTCCTTGAAAATGAAGTCGCTGCTATTGACATTTTTAAACCTAATGGTATTCTGCCAACTTCTGTGAAGTGTGTAAAGTGCAGTTCAGACTATGGTAAATATTTAGAAGCTACCAGTTCTAGCCTAGTCTATGTTTGGGCCTTGGGGGGTCGACCTATATGGCGAGTATGGTCTAAACCTGAATTTTTAACTCAAAATCTTGGTCGACTTATACGCCGCAACTTACGGTACTTATATTTTTAGTCTTATATAGGGAGAGTGAAAATAATAAAAATTATTTGTTCTATAGCATTTCCATCACAAATTTATATTTTTCAAGTATTTTAACTGATGTGATTTCCACACCTCCAATTACCAACAATATTAGCTGTTCAATGCAGGCAAGGCTTTAAGGAAAAGGGAAAAGTGGGATAAAAAAAAATCTTTTGAAATCCGTACCTACCTTTTCCTACCCTAAAAAATCTTAAAACTATAAAAAGATTACGTTATTTGTGTTTACGGTGATACTGTTGTTTTCGGTGTTTAGTACTGTATATGTAATGGTGATGTTTTTGGTGTTTAGTATGTGATGGTGTGTTTTTGGCTGTCAGATGAGGAGAGACACATTAACACGAAAGCATTTTTTAACCTTTATACAAATTAGGAAAGGTTAGGTAAGATATTTAAAGGTTTGTTTGATGTTCTTTTTATTGCTTTTTTTTACCCCACATTTTCTTCTACTTCAAAGACATACCCACTTTGAACGACTAATATTGTTGGTAATTTTATCAGTTAAAATACAAAACAAATATAAATTTCCTGGTGGAAATGCTAAAGAATAAATTACGTATAATGCAGTTTTTTCTCTTTTTCCTTATGTCTCAATATATAAGTAGGTGTTGGCAATACTAAATATTAACTCAGACTATCACAATAATCGACATAAGATCCTTAGGTTTTGTACTAACAGAAGGAAACTGGCCAAGGCAAAGAAATTTCTTCAATGTGGCTTTTGCATTTCTGCACTTAAAGCACTTGGTTGGACAAAGGGTAAAATTGCAGTTTCATTACCAATTTGTTTTTGACCAGAAATCTAGGTTTCTTCCAGTGGTATTTGATGTGATTCATTCGAATTTGACCTTCATTTCCACCAGAAATGATTTTTGTTTTATTTATCACCCCCCCCCCTCCCCTCCAAAAATATTGGGGGACCCACAGGAATTCGGAGTTTTTGGGTAGGAGATGTGCAAAAACGGAAGCCAATAGGATGCTAATCCAACCTAACGTAATCCAACTAACTTAACCTAACAAATAAAGGTAGGAGAGCACCAGATACACAAAGCGGCCATAACAAGAATGAAATCAAATTTTTTAATTCAAAATCGTATTCTCCCACAGGCCATGTCAATCACTGATTGGTCGAAGACAATGGAGTTGAAGCTAAGAAGCTCAAGACTGGTCCTTTTAGACCAACCACATGTCTCTGATGCTAACATTTTAACTCAGGAAAACCACTACATGTATCTCATAGTCACAATCTCAGAGAGTTTGTAGAGATAACATCAACCCTGATGGATTTGTTTGGTGCCTTTTTTTGTGTTCTTACCCCACAATTTCCTTCTACTTCAAAGCCCTGCCCACTTTATGCAATCAAAATGATTGGTAGTTGGGGGTAGGGGTTCATCTCTCAATAATGGCTCATTTCCAATGAAAAAGAAGGTCAAATTCAATTGAAATAGTACCACAATCAATCAATCAAAGTACTGTCATCATATCTGAGGGTTGGTGACAACAGTCCTCCACTCTTAAATGTTCTCAGGCTATTTTTACTAATTCTCCAAGGATTTGTCTCGGTATTATTTTAGTTTCGGTCATAGGGTGAATCTTAGGAATTTAATAAGTAGTTTAGACAATGATGTTTCCCTCGCAAACAACTTACTTATGCTGGGGAGACTGAGTCCCCCAGTTAGGAGGTTAGGTCAGATCATTTGCGAGATAAACATTGAAGAAGAAAAGTGTCTTAGAAAGTTCTAAACTATTGATTTCAATGATAAAATTTTGGTATTTTTAAAGTAGTTCACACAACATTCCTACCCCTAATTTTCTTCCATTACATTACCATCGGAAACGTATAACAGAGATAGCGCATGCCAAATCTTTCTCTATTTAATTCCATTAATCTGCAGCCATTATCGCCTACCCAACCTCCCACTCAGCGTGTTTCCTTCATACATTGTCACGCACATGCGTTCCCGTACATGTCACGCGGCCAATCAAAAGCGTTCTTTTTTGGGGCCACCAATTAAAATGAATTGTTGTTTCTGCTTATAGAATTCGCTGTATTTTTTGCCCAATTAGATTCAATTGTGATTTTCGGTCTCTCATGCTTCAAAATTCAAACTCATTTCCGACCATGAAAGTCTGCGATGGGTGTCACTTCAATTATATGGAGTTAACTGCGCATTTTGGGGGAAAAAACGAACAAGCTATACCATTTTTTAGATCTCATGGTGTTCTCTCGACCTCAGTAAAGATTCTAATTCAGAATAAGGTAAGATATAACAGTGATTCCTTCATATGGTTGGAGTCTGGTGAAGTAAAAACACCGTGAGTTAGGTTGGGTCAGGTTAGGTTAGGTCATCCCAAAAAAGGTTGGGTTTATATGTTTTAATTGTGTTTTTTTTTTTTTTTATTAACTTTGCCATGATTTTTGTCGGAAAACACCCCACCCAAAATCCCGGTTCCCAAAAGGATCCCCTATCTTGTTGGGGGTAGAAGGGGGCAATAACTAAACAACGGGTAATTTCCGACGGAAATCAAGGTCAGAATCAATCAAAACACAAGCATACACTAGAAAAACATAGTTTTGACTTTCTAACAGAGTTGTGTGAACTACTATAAATTTACCCAAATTTCTAGGTAATTTTTTTACATGTTGCCCATAATGTCCCACAATATTTTTGGGTCCATTTCTAGGTAGATCTCGTCATTTCTAACAACATTTCTTACTAACATTTCCATTGCAAATGATTCGTTTTCGAGAAAAGAGCATTAATTTATTATATTATGGGCAACTTGTAAAAATTTACCAATTTCTAAGACTCCCGTGTTGTCCGAAAGTAAAACTTTACCTTAGTATCTCTCTGGGGACCCAGTTTTAATTTAATTCACTCATCTCAGTCTCTGCCTTCCATTTGCTCTTTTCCCCTCAACTTTGCCCATTAATATTTGTTCTGATAAAGGTGTAGAAGAGGGTGACCACCAGAAGTTGTTTGTTTATTTTCTTTATCTTTGCTATACAGGTGCTCCTCTACTTACGAACAAGTTACGTTCCTGAGGCTTGTTTGTAAGTCCAACTTTACTCTTGTAGATACCAAACATATTGTATATAATGAAAAGATTATGGATATTTAGTACAGCCATACCATTTAATACAGCCTTAAAACCTGGCTCTCTCTTCTCTTAGGTAATGTTTGTTCTATTTGGAATTTTCTTCAAAATAATCCAGTCTCATCCACATTAAACACCTGTTCAGGCAGGTAACCCCCCCCTCAGTGATGAGGTTTGTATCTCTGAAAGTTTGTAAGTTGAATGTTCTTAAGTAGAGGAGCACCTGTACTTATTGTTTTGGTGATTTTAAGTATATTTAAAGAATCAACAACTTTTTATTATAATTTTAAGTATATTTTTTTATTTACTCTATCCCGCTTTACAATTCACCTCCCTGCATCATTTATGTTGTTTACCGCACTGAATCCCTCTTCAAGAGACGTTTCCTATAAATGATGGTGAACGCTTCCATGTATTCCTCCTCACCATTGCTGACTTATATCAACGTCAATATTAAGGCAAGTTGTTTAACACATAAATTAACACGATAATGCATAGAACCGAATACAAGCTGACCTAACATACCCAACCTATGGGTACGTTAGGTCAGGTTCTATTAGGTTCTTTGTATTGTCGTTTCCATTTTTGTGTTCAATATCATATTAGAGTGTAGAAAAAATTTCAACCAATTCAAAGAATTCCTTCCAGTGGTCACCCTCTTCTACACCTTTACCTTTGTTGTTATCACCTCATCCCTAACTATATAAAACACACCAAAAATAGTTGTATTACCCACTTTTTATTTGGCAGTGGATATTTTTCCATGACTGGCTAAGTTCCTACTAACGCTATTTTACCGTGAGTGCACTATGGTTGGCTCATCAAATCAAATCGACAATGCACAGAACTTATTTAGAACCTTAACTAACCTCACTTAACTTCCTAACCTGTGCATTGTCGTTTTAATTTTCCAACTATTATCCAAACACCATCTCTAGAAAAAATTAACGCAGTAGATATTTTGCTTGCCGATAATGGACGATTAGCCAATCAGGGCGCACTCACGGTAAAATAGCGTTTGTAGGAACTTAGCCGGTCTCGGTAAAATATCTACTGCATTTTCATTTTCAAAAAAATCACTTAACAAAACCAACAGGGCTGGCAAAACTCACTGTTACAGATGTGGTGTAAATGATTGAGGTGGTTTCTTCCCCGAGTTGCTGTACATGTTCTGTCGATTCCTCATTAGTGTCCAAGCATATACGTTAGATGTGAATGATTCATCTGATCAGTGGTCGTCTGCATTAGTTTCTACAGTTTAATGTGCACTTGGCTATCTTTCCTCTTTTGCTTTTATTATAATTGTGATTTAATTTATATCAAAAGCTTTCTGTATAAGAACTGATCCCAACACGGATAACTGTTTGTTGTTTAATTGTGAAAATAGTGAACAAGACGTCACTTCAGCTGATGTTGAAGAAGTACCACAGTGAAGCATAGGTCCTATGGACCTACAGTACACACTATTATTTCACTTCTCAACAAACGCCAATCTAATCACAATTATCCATTCAATAATAATTTTAAAGTTCTGGGCAGTCTATGTTGCCTGAAAAATATAAATTAGATCGTTTTTTTTCTAATTATGGTATTTTTAACATTATTTTCTAGCAACACGACGTAACTTAGTTTTACTTATTTTTTTTATTATTATCATATTCGCCACTTATCAGCTTACTAGCCGTTTGGGCGGTCTACCCAGTGTTAATAAAGGAGGATACCGGGGACCGGGTAACCTGTGGTGTTTGGTAGGGTTGTGGGGAAATAGAAAACTCAGTTTGTGAAAAAGATCTAGGTGTATTTGTTAGCAACGACTTGAAACCTAGAAAACAATATATTAGCGTTCGCAACAAGGCAAACAGGATTCTTGGGTTCATATCTAGGTCTGTGAGTAACAGAACTGCTGACGTTATCTTGAAACTTTACCTAGCATTAGTGAGGCCACACATGGATTATGCGGTTCAGTTCTGGTGTCCTTATTATAGAATGGACATAGATTCTTTGGAGAGAGTACAAAGAAGAATGACAAAATGATCCATAATATTAGAAACCTTCCATATGAAGAAAGACTGAAAAGCTTAGGCTTGCATTCATTAGAGAGGCGTAGAGTTAGGGGAGATATGATAGAGGTGTTCAAGTGGGTAAGTGGGATTAACAAGGGTAAAATGGAAGATGTTCTGAAGCTCAGTAATAACGAAATAACTAGAACAAATGGCTTTAAATTAGATAAATTCCGATTCAGAAAGGATATAGGCAAGCACTGGTTTGGTAATAGAGTTGTGGATATGTGGAATAGGCTACCGAGTGCTATAGTAGGATCGGGGACGCTTGGGAGCTTCAAGACGAAGTTGGATAGGCACATGGAAGTGCTGGGATGGGTGTGAAAGGGATCTGCCCTGTGTGGGCCAGTCGGCCTCCTGCAGTATCCCACTTTCTTATGTTCTTATTTGGGTTCACACTCAGGATGGGATGGAGAAAGGAAACTCACAATGTGCTCTCTGTATACATATTATATTGGATGTACAATGCAGTTTGGTGGCTGGTGCTGGGAGGAGGCAGCGTGGTTACAAGCGTGATGTAGAGAGAGCTGGTTGGTGCGGGTGCTCAGAGGACAAGCTTGTGGGTCGCCATGCTCGCCGGCTGGAGCGAGGGCCGCCAGGCAGAAGCGGAGGAGGTGGTGTTGCTTGCTGGTTGGTGTAGGTAGAAAGAGAGGTGGGTCACTACGAGGTCAGGTCTTATATAGCGGAGGTAGGCGTGGCTTAATAGTTGACCTCCGTGATGTATGGCGGGCTGGTTGACCTAGACCACAAGGCATACACTGGGGAATTCGTGGGTTCGGCTACTCAGCGACAAGCGTTTGTAGGGGTTGGAATCCACTACACTGTAAGCCCCCCGGGAAAATTTTGATATTTGAACACTTCTTTGGAGAATTTTGAAGCCATATGCAGTTATATTGAGGAAATTAGAACATTGAGAAATTTTTAATTAACTATATTTATTGATAGTGTACAAATTCCCAACACACACACACACACAAGTGAGACATGACTGGAGTCATTCATGTGGTTTCAAGTCGACCAGCGCTGATATAGCTACTACCGCACATGTCAAAAATTTTATGTGGAGGCCCCTGGGCAGTTGCCCACTCCTGAATCCGGCCCTGGTAACAGAGACGTGATCGATTTCCCAAGCTGGTGAATGTGATGTATTTCCTTCTTTGTGTACGAACCTCTGTCCTGCGTGGCAGTGAACAGTGGCATTACCCACATGAATCTGACCTATATATAGTGTCAATGAATATGATGCATTCTTTGTGTACGAACCTCTGTCCTGTATGGCAGTGAAAAGTGACATTACCCACATGAATCTGACCGACGTATATGTATGTATGTGTGCGTGTGTGCATGTATATGTACGTGTACATGTATATGTGTATGTATATACTTATATGTATGTATATGTGTGTGTTTACATATATGTATATGTACTGTCAATGAATATGATGCAACTCTTTGTGTACGAACCTCTGTCCTGCATGGCAGTGAACAGTGACATTATCCATTTGAACCTGACCTATATACATTTATAGTTAATGAATATGATGTATTTCTTTGTGTGTGAACCTCTGTCCTGCGTGACAGTGAGAAGTGATACCACCCTCAGTGTCAAGACCTGTGTGGGGTATGAGATGTTTGTTTGGTGTTCACACTCAGGATGGGATGGAGAAAGGAAACTCACAATGTGCTCTCTGTATACATATTATATTGGATGTACAATGCAGTTTGGTGGCTGGTGCTGGGAGGAGGCAGCGTGGTTACAAGCGTGATGTAGAGAGAGCTGGTTGGTGCGGGTGCTCAGAGGACAAGCTTGTGGGTCGCCATGCTCGCCGGCTGGAGCGAGGGCCGCCAGGCAGAAGCGGAGGAGGTGGTGTTGCTTGCTGGTTGGTGTAGGTAGAAAGAGAGGTGGGTCACTACGAGGTCAGGTCTTATATAGCGGAGGTAGGCGTGGCTTAATAGTTGACCTCCGTGATGTATGGCGGGCTGGTTGACCTAGACCACAAGGCATACACTGGGGAATTCGTGGGTTCGGCTACTCAGCGACAAGCGTTTGTAGGGGTTGGAATCCACTACACTGTAAGCCCCCCGGGAAAATTTTGATATTTGAACACTTCTTTGGAGAATTTTGAAGCCATATGCAGTTATATTGAGAAAATTAGAACATTGAGAAATTTTTAATTAACTGTATATTTATTGATAGTGTACAAATTCCCAACACACACACACACACAAAAGTGAGACATGACTGGAGTCATTCATGTGGTTTCAAGTCGACCAGCCCTGATATAGCTACTACCGCACATGTGGAGGCCCCTGGGCAGCTGCCCACTTTACCCACTCCTGAATCCGGCCCGGTAACAGAGACGTGATTGATTCCTGCTGGTGAATGTGATGTATTTCCTTCTTTGTGTGTACGAACCTCTGTCCTTGCGTGGCAGTGAACAGTGGCATTACCCACATGAATCTGACCTATATATAGTGTCAATGAATATGATGCATTTTTTGTGTACGAACCTCTGTCCTGTATGGCAGTGAAAAAGTGACATTACCCACATGAATCTGACCTGACGTATATGTATGTATGTGTGCGTGTGTGCATGTATATGTACGTGTACATGTATATGTGTATGTATATACTTATATGTATGTATATGTGTGTGTTTGGCATATATGTATATGTACTGTCAAATGAATATGATGCAAATCCCTTTGTGTACGAACCTCTGTCCTGCATGGCAGTGAACAGTGACATTATCCATTTGAACCTGACCTATATACATTTATAGTTAATGAATATGATGTATTTCTTTGTGTGTGAACCTCTGTCCTGCGTGACAGTGAGAAGTGATACCACCCTCAGTGTCAAGACCTGTGTGGGGTATGAGATGTTTGTTTGGTGTTCACACTCAGGATGGGATGGAGAAAGGAAACTCACAATGTGCTCTCTGTATACATATTATATTGGATGTACAATGCAGTTTGGTGGCTGGTGCTGGGAGGAGGCAGCGTGGTTACAAGCGTGATGTAGAGAGAGCTGGTTGGTGCGGGTGCTCAGAGGACAAGCTTGTGGGTCGCCATGCTCGCCGGCTGGAGCGAGGGCCGCCAGGCAGAAGCGGAGGAGGTGGTGTTGCTTGCTGGTTGGTGTAGGTAGAAAGAGAGGTGGGTCACTACGAGGTCAGGTCTTATATAGCGGAGGTAGGCGTGGCTTAATAGTTGACCTCCGTGATGTATGGCGGGCTGGTTGACCTAGACCACAAGGCATACACTGGGGAATTCGTGGGTTCGGCTACTCAGCGACAAGCGTTTGTAGGGGTTGGAATCCACTACACTGTAAGCCCCCCGGGAAAATTTTGATATTTGAACACTTCTTTGGAGAATTTTGAAGCCATATGCAGTTATATTGAGGAAATTAGAACATTGAGAAATTTTTAATTAACTATATTTATTGATAGTGTACAAATTCCCAACACACACACACACACAAGTGAGACATGACTGGAGTCATTCATGTGGTTTCAAGTCGACCAGCGCTGATATAGCTACTACCGCACATGTCAAAAATTTTATGTGGAGGCCCCTGGGCAGTTGCCCACTCCTGAATCCGGCCCTGGTAACAGAGACGTGATCGATTTCCCAAGCTGGTGAATGTGATGTATTTCCTTCTTTGTGTACGAACCTCTGTCCTGCGTGGCAGTGAACAGTGGCATTACCCACATGAATCTGACCTATATATAGTGTCAATGAATATGATGCACTCTTTGTGTACGAACCTCTGTCCTGTATGGCAGTGAAAAGTGACATTACTCACATGAATCTGACCGACGTATATGTATGTATATGTGTGTGTGTGTGTTTACATATATGTATATGTACTGTCAATGAATATGATGCAACTCTTTGTGTACGAACCTCTGTCCTGCATGGCAGTGAACAGTGACATTATCCATTTGAACCTGACCTATATACATTTATAGTTAATGAATATGATGTATTTCTTTGTGTGTGAACCTCTGTCCTGCGTGACAGTGAGAAGTGATACCACCCTCAGTGTCAAGACCTGTGTGGGGTATGAGATGTTTGTTTGGTGTTCACACTCAGGATGGGATGGAGAAAGGAAACTCACAATGTGCTCTCTGTATACATATTATATTGGATGTACAATGCAGTTTGGTGGCTGGTGCTGGGAGGAGGCAGCGTGGTTACAAGCGTGATGTAGAGAGAGCTGGTTGGTGCGGGTGCTCAGAGGACAAGCTTGTGGGTCGCCATGCTCGCCGGCTGGAGCGAGGGCCGCCAGGCAGAAGCGGAGGAGGTGGTGTTGCTTGCTGGTTGGTGTA